TGAAGATGGTCTAGGCAACATCAAAACTTTTCCTTTCCTTGAACAAAAAGCATGACAATTTCACAACGGACACACTAGATGATTGTCGATTATGAATCATAAGTCAACATTCAGCTTCAAGTTGCTGGTCGAATATGGTATCACACTGTTATGTTTTGTTTGAGCTTCTTTATGAAAAAGTAAACGAGGAATACAATGGTCAGTGAAAAATAGCAAGGCGGAGGACAAGAAATTCACGTAATGTAACCGAAACATCCTGCTCTTCTCAGTATTTGATTGCACTCACATCTGGAGCTTGCTTCTCCAAGAGTGATAACAAATTACATAACGTTGCACAAAGCTTCCACTAAATTCCAGAGTCAACCAGCTACAACCCTTTCCCCATCTTCAACGAAGAGTAATTGCACTTTCAGGCACCTGAAATAGCAGACCATTAAAACACTGAATCTGTATGGAACATTTAAGATTAGAGAGAAAGTCTTGAACAAAGAAAATCCAAAATAGAAGATAGTGAAAGATCTACAAGCTCAAACCCAGCAAAGAAACAAATTCACCGTGAGAATATAGTATTCACAAAGTATGAGCCATCTCTGAATGCCAGAACAGGTCAATCATTCAGGAAAAACAAAATTTAGGCTGCCACAGTTGCATGGCGATCCATGATGCTCCAAACAGTTAAGAATACAGGCCAAGATACTTCCTGTATCATGGTTCCAAAAGAGAATTACTTTTCCTTTCATTTTGGTGTCAGTCGTCATAACTTACTAAAAATCGTCAACAGATAGGTCAAGCTGCCTAACTAATGCAATAGTATGCATGTCTGAAACTACAGATGCAGACAACAGAAGATGAATAAAAGAAACTTAAAAGGAGAGAGTAAGAAAGGAGATTACATCAGGCCACGTGTCTGTGATAAATTAAACAACATCATAACCTATGTCTCCTCGAACATCAATTTGCTCCTTGTCAGTTGGACCCTGAATGTTAACACATGTAGAATATAAGAAGCGGAAGATGATCAAGGTAGAAGAATTTTAGAAGTATATCGGCACCTTGACAACAGATGCACCAGTTGCAAACTTTTTCCCGAGTTTTTTGGAAGCATCACTAAGCTTGATTCCTGGAAACAAAATCTAATTAAGAATGTACATTTAACCCGTTAAACAAAACACAGTATCAAAATTATTTAGAGATGTAGCTCACCAAAGAGGTCCAATCCTTTAATAATGGTAATACATTTGCGCTTGTTGCGTACAACCTTTTCAATTACAACTTCTTGCTTCTCCAGCACAGGAAAAGTAGGTATCATAGAAAAAAAGAATTTCTCCAATTGATATCAGTGCATCTATCACTGCTTATTATGAGACGCACTAGCTAAACTGTGAGACGATCTTGAAGAGCTATGGGAAATGGGTTCAGATCAGTAATGCATCTCCATCACTACCAAGAGAATTGCACAGTGAGCAGAGCATCTGCTGCTAAAAAATGGGACTAGATACTATAACAACACTCCTTTTGTTGTTATTGTAACAACACTAGTCTCCAACCAATAGGAAGCTAGGATTGTGATGACTTTTTATTAAATGAGTTGACCTAGTGTAAAATCAAAGCAGGGGTATAATTGTCATTATGAAAAATATATTTTAAAAATAAAAAAATAAAAAATAAAAATAAAAATAAAAATATTTTTTATTTTCGGCCCAAAATTTTGGTCGCCGGAATCTGGTCGACGGTCACCGGAATATGCTTTTTTGTCGCCGGAATATGCTATTTTGTCATCGGAATATGCCACCGTCGCCGGAATATGCTCACCGCGGTCGGAATATGCTTACCGGAATCGGAATCTAGTTATCGGGGCCGGAATATGCCTATCGGCGTCGGAATCTGCTAACTGACGGTCACCGGAGTTCAGTCAACGGTCTTCGTTGACCGGTCAACGGTCAACGACCACCGGTCAATGGTCAACGACCACCGGTTGTTATGGTCTGCATTGTGAGATTTATGGTTTGGTTTCTCATATTTTTGTATGTCTTTTGTGGTTTGCTTTATCGTGTTTGTGGTTTGCATTAAGAAGTTTCTGGTTTGCTTTATCGTGTTTGTGGTTTGCATTGAGAAGTTTCTGGTTTGCTTTCAAAAAATTTGTGGTTTGCATTGATGGGTTTCTGGTTTGTTTTAATATATTTGTGGTCTGCATTAGGACGTTTATGATTTGTTTTTTTGTGGTTTGATTTCTAGTGTTTGTGGTTTGCATTAGGAGGTTTCTGGTTTGCTTTCGAAAATTTTGTGGTTTGCATTGTGAGGTTTCTGGTTTATTTTAGGAGATTTGTGGTATGCATTCAGAGGTTTCTGGTGTGCTTTCGAAACTTTTATGGTTTGCTTTGCGAGGTTTCTGGTTTGTTTTAATATATTTGTGGTTTGCTTTGCGAGGTTTCTGGTTTGTTTTAATATATTTGTGGTCTGCATTAGGACGTTTTTGGTTTGCTTTTTTGTGGTTTGATTTACTGTGTTTGTGGTTTGCATTAGAAGGTTTCTGGTGTGCTTTCGCAAATGTTGTGATTTGCTTTGTGGGGTTTGTGGTTTGTTTTAGAGGATTTGTGGTCTCCATTAAGAGGTTTTTGGTTTGCTTTTTTGTGGTTTTTTTTATCACGTGTGTGGTCTGCATTAGGATGTTTCTGGTGTACCTATGAAAGACTTGTGGTTTGCTTTACCGTATTTGTGGTTTGCTTTACCGTATTTGTGGTTTGCTTTAGGAGATTTCTGGTGTGTTTTCGCAAATGTTGTGGTTTGCTTTGTAAAGTTTGTGGTTTGTTTTAGGGAATTTGTGGTCTGCACTAGGAGGTTTTTGATGTGTTTATTAAAGACTAATGATTTGCATACCAATAACTCCTAAATGCATATAATAAACACAATAATATACTAAAATAGATTAAACCCCCTTCACAAGTATATACAAAACTTCTATTTATATCAACCAAAAAATTACATATCACCGCACCCTCCTCATTCGGCCAGATTAGATGCCATTGTAGGGATATAAAACAAAGAGTCGATTTTGAGCCTATGCGTACTACAATCTCTTGGATCCTCAATTCTGTCCCAATTTCCCCATACAAACAAATCCCTAATCCCCTCGCCACTTTGTATTCTCTATTCTATAACATAATCTAGAATCCCGACCCAACTCCCCCACTATACGCAGCTCGCCCGTCACTCTGCCCCGCCGTCGCAAAAAAAAAAAAAAAAAAAAAATGTTGAATTAGACAAAACATTGAGCAATAAGAGTTGAGGCCTTCAAACAATCCAAATGATTAGAGAATCAGAAGGAATCTTGAAATGCATACTTGGAACATTGGAGTAATGCCAGTGCCTCCAGCTAGCATTCTGAATGCTTTCACTTGGTTGGGTTGATATTTGAAGCGCCCCTGAACGTTCAAGAATGTTAAAACCTTTTATGTTCACTATCAAGACATCAAAGGCGTGGCCTTAAACATAACGAGCAAATGGCTAGTTTAAGTAGTGATTCTTCTACCAAAGTGCAAGGAGACACTTCTCACTTCATACTGAAAATGCAACCACATACAAAATGGCAATACTTATACCAGGATCCACTCAACATAGGTTCCACAATGTTTAATCAGGGTAAATAGAAAAGCCATTGCAACTCGAATGAGACTTGATTATTGTGTTGTAGCTTAATCACGGGAAAAGCTAAGCAACCTATTAAAGACGAATCCATGCCAGACACCGAAAACTTCATCGCAAGGAATGGAAAGATCATTTACCTTAGCCGCTTTCACAGCCAAGTAATCACCTTCTGCAGCTATCGGAAGTGGTGAGACATTCGTCCTTGTGGATACATCTGTTGTTCATACGATTCTAGAATCAGGAACGGAATACAGAACAAAGACAATGCTAATGAAGCAAAGCCTTAAAAATGCTCCGAGTTTAGAGACAACCTTTAATGATGCAGAAAACCTGCAGGAGGCGCCGTCGTACAATCACCACCAGAAAGTGGGCGGCGGCGGGAACGAGACGAAAATTGTTGTTGCGATTCCGACGGAGGATGATGTAAACGACGGAGAGACGAGATCTGTCAGGAACCTGATTTTGCGGCGCCACCGCTACGGTTATTGTGGAGATTTGCAGTCGCTGACCTGCGAGGCGCCGCCATCACCAGATCTACAACGACAGAGGTTATCGGCGGCGACAGGAGTGTGAAGGAGTGGCTGCGACTCGTTTGAATCGGCGCCGGCGCCGGAAGGAGAAAAAAACATCAGGAGGACTGGCGACCCGGCGTCGGAAGAAAGAAGAATGGCGTGGGATGAGAGGAGATCCACAGGGATGAGAGGGGATTGAGATTTACGGATTAGAAAATTAATTTTTTAATTTTATTTTGTTAATTTCCCTTTTTACCCCTGTGATTACTATAAAAACACTTATTGTGTTGTTATTCTATCCGCACCCCTAAAAAATACATGGAGACACCCAAATTCCAGCTCCAATTGAGACAAGATAGGTATGTGTACCTCAAAAAGATCGGTGCTAATAGTACTCGACCCCTTAAGACTAGGAGATGCAGGTAAAGGAAACAACAGGACAGGAAATAAGCCAACTCGATGCATTTGTTACAAATGTTTATAGAGATGGAGCATCATGAATGGCAGGACAGTCAACCCCAACTGTTGGCAGGTCGTTCATGAACAACTATGGTCATGGAGTCCTAGGAAGGAACCATCAACCTTTCTTATTGAGCATTTACAACCTTGATAAAGGTCAGAGAATCTGGAAACTAGAAGCACATCAAGGCAGAAGAATAAAATAACAATTATTTTGTAGCAGCAAGCTCAGTGCCACAACCATGTAAAGTTGCAGCATACATGGTTATATACTTGTGCAGTTATACATCAAATGAAATGAAGCCGATGTACGGCCATACAGAGTGCCACAAGTAGAGAATATAGAAGAAAGATAAACAAATAACAATGTTCTTACTTTCTTTTTTATTTTGCCACCGGGAAGATGTTTAACTTCTTCAGCTTTCGATGCTGATGTCCCTCGTGTAATCAGATTGGAGTAAAGAGTAAAGAGTCTTGTTGACAAGGAAGAACGGAAAGAAGAAACCTGGACTCTGTCCTTGATAACAACAATTTTACTAGATTGAGTAGATGAGGCAGCCCCATCACCAGTGCCATCGAGTGAGATGCCAAGAGGTTGAAGACAATAAAAAACCTTGTCAATGTCCTTTTCATTAGCATCTACACCAAGAATCATGTAAAATAGAGTAGAACATTAAAATACAGATATTACATAGGAAAAGGCGCAAATCACACAGACATAGATGGAGAGTGAGAGAGAGGACTAGGGTTTGAGTGAAGGAGAGAGAGAGTGAGAGTGAGAGGGGAGTGAATTACCTTTGAGAAGATCAGGGTAGACGTCGGGGGCGTTCTTGACGAGCCATGGATTTCACTTCTCAAAATCGGATCCAAATTCACAGTAGTCCGACGGAAGAGAGCAAACGCCGCAGTACAAAACTCGCACTGCTTTCGGTTTCTCTGCCATAGAGTTGGGAAATCGGAAGTGCCTCCTTCAAAATTGGACGCACAGCTGCCGCAATATACTCCTCTTCCAGGAGCAGTGGAAGACCTAAATTCGATTCGCGAGCAGATTGATATGCTCTTCGTGCAGTGTAGGCGACACAAGGAAAATGTATTTGGAACCCTGTTCAGTTAGGCTTTCCTTTTTTCCGTTTTACTGAAACTACTCCATGGTGCGGTGGACGGTGGCATTGTGGTTAATTGGCTATCAACCCGGTTTTGACAGTTGACCGGTTAAGTCACTGGATGACAGGTCTATTGGATGCAAGGTTATCAGCCCACGGTTCAACAAGACGGTGACGGTCCGACGCCGACACGGTGCTGCAAATGGGTGAAGGTCAACCCAGACCCAGTCATACTCAAGAAACCTAGATGGTTAACCTGTTTGAACGAGCATCCGATTTAGGCGTGGAGCGCTATTTTGCACAGAAGAGGAGTTCGACTGAATGCTGATCCCTATGGGCTATGAATATTGATTCGCTTTCCATTCTCAATTTTTCTCCACGGCACAAACCCTAGCTCTTCTCTCAGAGGGCGACGACCTAGCCTGCACACAGTCACGAGAAATCGACAATCTCGTTCTCTCTTGTCGTCAGAGCGCCTTCTTGCCGACATCACCTGCTCTCGTCGACGTCACCTGGTAGAATCATGCACTCCAGTTGATTCGCACGCTCCGGGTGACCTCTCCCACTCCCGACGAAATTGCGCGCTCCAAGTCGGCCACGCCTGCTCCCGACGGCAACGAACGTTGTCGGCGACCACACTCGTTGCCGACGACCTCGCCCGCCCGTCAGCCCCCAACCCCAGCTAAAACACACGACAATGACGGACTGCCCTATTTTGGGTCGGCCCCTTGCCTTATATCCTTCTTGCTCTACTCGTCTAATTCGGTGGATACCAGCTCACTTGTCGTCAACCATTCTCAATTTAAAGATCCTAGGTAACTTCACTTGCATTTACTCTTTTTTTTCTTCCTCATGATGCTAGATGGGTTAGTGAAAGTTCCATGCTTTTATCAATTGTATCTCGAGTCGATCCAACTCAGAGTTTCACTATTTTATCGGATCTATGACATGCTTTATCAATTGTATCTCGACCCAAGTGAGAGTTTAACTAATATGAAGTTCATTTGTGAATCCGAACACTGCTGGAAATTTTTAGTATATTTGCTTTACTTTTGATATTAATTCATGGTGTGTTTGATACTTAGATTCGGAAGATGGCATCGGGCAATGATTCAATTCAATCATCCGTTGCTAGTAGTCCTGCTGGGAGTATGCGGTACAAATCATCAGAGAAGCAAGAAATTTGTGGCATAAATTCTTTTTGTGTGGTCGGGTGGTAAAAGGAGGAGGAATTAATAGGGCGAGACAACATTTGGCTTGAAAAAAGGTGAAAAGTTCAAGAGTTTGCTTGAATAATCGTCTACTAGACCAAAGGTTGCAAGAAAACAAAATGAAGAAGATGATGATTCTCAGCAGCAAAATACAAGTTCAACAACATCAAAGCCTCCACCAAGTTTCTTTGCTCCAAGAAGAACATAATTAAGGAGCTCAACCTAGCATTCGAAGTGCTTTTGTTGGAAAAGAAGCAAAGAAAAATGCATACCTCATTGTGGCTAAATGGTTCTATCATGCTAAGATACCATTAAATGCTACAAACTCATAATATTATCAAATATCATTTGATGCGACAATTGCTATTGGCCCCGGATAAAAGGTACCTTCTTATCATAAATGATTATCAGAAGAGTTGGAAAATTACTGGTTGCGCTTTGATGACTGATGGTTGGCAGACATGAGTCAAAGGTCATTGATTAATTTTCTAGTCTATTGTCCAAAGGGTGTATGTTTTCTGAAATCTTTGGATGCATCGGTCTTGGGTTAAGGTACTTTGGCCAACTTGTTTGGTGGTGTGATTGGGCTAGAGAATGTTGTGCATTTTATCATAGATAATGCTGTCAATTATGTTGCTGCTGGGAGAAAAGTTCATGAGAAGTATAAGAGTATCTTTTGATCTCTATGTGCTGCACCTGTTGTTAATCATTTGTTGAAAGTCACCTATCTCTCTTAGCTTTTATGAAGAAGTTAGAAGGTTGGAAGCATATTGTTCGTTCAGGAGCTACTCGATTTGCTACAAGTTTCATATGCTTAAAAAGTGTGTATGACCATAGGCCTTTGCTGGAACAACTTGTCACAAGTAGCTTCTTTACATCTCACATGTTGGGAAAATCTAAAGAGGGGAAACACATAAAGTTTGTTCTGTTGGATAACAATTTCTAGAAGGAATTTTTAGTGATGGTGAAGTTGACATTCCCTATTGTGAAGCACTAAAGCTGTTGGTGGTTGTTGATTCTGATGAGCAACCATCTTTGGTGTATGTGCATGATGGAATGATGAGGATACAAAAGACCATCAAGAACACTTTTATGGGCAATGGAAGAGGAGCTAATGTGTATATGACTTATGTGAGATGGGATAAGCATCTTCGATATATCATCTATGGAGCTCCATATTTTTAAATCCGAATTTTCAGTATACGGATGAAAGCAATGCAAGAGGTTAGACTTTTTAGAGATAAGCCTGAAAGCTTTGGGAAGAAATAAGATATCTCGTGTGCTTCCACTTTACCTCCAGGTAACCAATTCTAGTCACTTGCTAGCTTGTTACATATTAGGTTGTAATATTTTCAAAGTCTATGTACTTATTCAGAATAATTTGCTTGAATGAATAGTTGAATGGTGGACACTATTTAAAGAGGATGCTCCACATTTGAGCAAGCTCATAGTTCGAATTTCGTCTCAAACATCATCTTCTTATTAATGGTAGCGGAATTAGAGTGTGTTCGACCAAATCCATAGTAAGCGGAGGAATCCATTAGAGCATCAAAGATGGAATGATCTTGGTTATGTGACTTACAATTTGAGGTTGAAGAATAGATAATGCTTAAATTGTATGCAACATTGTTAAGTTATTAACACTTCATATTCATATACTTAATCGTTTTATCTTCTTTGAATTGTAAGTGCTTGAAGAATGCGTGGACGAAAGACCCAATTGATTATGAGTAATTAGATAACATTGATTTTTGGATTGTAGAAGAAGATCAACCTATAGATGTAGACTGTGAGGAGATTGAAAAGACTCTTTATGAGGAGGAGCAGGAGGAATCATCCTCATCTTCTAGAAAGCGTCCTCATGATGAAGGTTTTCCTATTACAGAAACTATGAAAAAGTCTAAACATTCTTATAATAACGATATTCTCATTAGTTATAATTATGAATATTTGATTTCGTGTTTTGATGGAGAGGGCTTTGCGTATGATGTAGCCGATGAAATTGACTTCGATATTTCCCATATTGTTGATGCATTGGAGATGGAGATGGATGCCTTTATCTTTGAAGATTGAGTACTTTACTTTTGTCATTTGACATTCTAAGTTGATGTTATGTGACAGATTTAAGTGTGACGGATTTAAGTGTTGTTGCATTTTTGTCACGTTGGATTTAATATTAAGTACAATATAATGACTTTTCTTCTATATCCGGGCCAAACCGGTCATCCCATTAACCCTTGACCCACTATCTCCACAAGGCCGACATGCTAAATTGGGTGAGAACCTTGATTGGATGAAAATGGTTTAACTCGATTGGCCAGTTTTGTACAGAATTTAAACTTTAAAGGGAAGTAATAAGATACAAAGCTCATCACTGCAAAAACTCTCAATTCATTCAACATCTAATGGTCTAGATTCATTCCCAACAAAAAATAAGAGGGACGGACTGGTAATTTTGTTGACACAGATGCAGAGGAGAGAGAATACATTTTTCTAAATCCCCTATTTTTTAACTGATAATATAGCATTTGTCTTAACTCGGAATTTAAAAACTTACATAAAAAGATCACATTAATTATGATCTATACAATGATGCCCATTTTACTATATTTTGATCAAAGAAAATTTAACTCTTCGAAACACGTGTCAATTGTAGTAAAATCACTTTCATTTCTATCATATCATCATTATATGAGTGACATGATGACTTATCTCCATCGTTTTAACTAAAAAAAAAAATTGTATACAAGAACACATTAATTATGATATACATAATTATATATTTTTTAAATGTTTTTTCATACGTAAAACATCATACGAACTTCATATTATGATACTATCACTATATCATGATATGACATTGATATGATGTTATCAAGTTATTTTGACAAACATAAGACCTCATACCAACATCATATCACTATCATACCAACAACATGTCAACATTATATCGCTATCATATAAACATCATACCTATGTAATATCATACCACTATCAGTGTAAATATCATGATATGACAGTGATAAAGACTCGTTTCCTTAATTTTAACTCAGAATTAAATAAAAAATTGTATACAAATAACATATTAATTTTGATCTACACAATGATATATATTTTGTTATGTTTTGTAACATAAACTCTCATACCAACACCACATCAGTGTCATATCACTGATATTATCACTATAAACACTAATATTATCAGTTTATCACTATGGGAGATAGTATCAATGATATGACATAGCCATGATGTCATCAAATTATTTTGACAAACATAAGATCTCATATCAACATCATATCACTATCACACAAACATCATATCAATATCATACCATTATCTTATCAACATTATACCACTGTGTTATCATAACCCTATCAGTGATAATATCGTGATATGACAATGGTAAGATGACGTAAAAATTTTGATACAAAAATATAAAAATGGATATCATCTCGTGGAGAACAAAAATTAGATTTTTCTGTGCAATTTTTTTTGAACCGATGTAAAACAAATAAGTTAAGGTTCGTTGAATTTTCGTAAGATATTTAAAAAGTGCATTAACAGCCGCCTGGGAATCCGAGCCGGTTCACCCAAAATCCGGTCAACTCCCCTTAAATTCCTTATTTCTCTTCTTAACCCTTTATGATATGGACCATTAGATCTTTCCTTCCAAATTATA